AACATATTTTCATTATTTTTGGTGTGTAGGTAGCTGAGAGAGAGATGTACATAATTAAATGCAAATTATGCAAATAAGGACTTTATTTGCATAATTAATGAGGAAATTCTATAATTACAGTGTTTTACATTATACTACTTACATACATGTAATGTATGTAACCTATGGCAGGCGGAACTTCAACAGATACTAATTATGCAAATGATGACCTAATTTGCATAATTAATGCGAAAATTATATGATTTCGTAATGGTGAATGATGAGAATGTCATACTTGGGACATCTGTAAGTTAATCAAAAGTTAACATACATCACGATGCATATATCATGTTAATGCAGAGGTCATTTGCACAATTAAAGAAGAAATTTACATTTACATATCAAGATCATATTTCATGGAGGTATGAGATCTCGGAATTCTAGTTCAACATGTGGTCAGCGGGGCTCTTATTGAGCAAATTAAGACATTGAATTGTTTTGTCTTGTCGTGTGGAATAGCGCTTAATTTCTGTATACATGATCAGTTCTACAGCGTTGTAAGTTCAGTTTACTAGAAGAGCGGGTGAGGCGACTGCTGATGCTCTCTCTTATGGGTGGAAGGAAGGTTCTGTACAGTTTGGATGTCAGTAGAGACTTGGCAAACTTCAGTGTTAAAGTTCGATCGACGTGTGTGGAGTGTTGGCAGGTCGAGAAGGGTGCACGCTTCTGCATAGTCAGTTCTGTAGTCGGTTCCCAGAATATTAAAGTTCAAGACTTCGTGCATTTTTTTCAAATTCCAACAATAAGAACGTTAATTTTTCTGTTTTGCTGCAGTGTTCTTCACATGTAGTGTCTTCCCTGGTGACGAAACAAAATGACCAATCATCATCATCGATATTTTGCCCTGCTGTACATGTTGGTTACTGTATCATCAGTTCTTATTATGCTGTATTACACATCTGTACACGTAATCCCTGGTGATCACTTGCCGTGGAAACCACCAGAATCCCGCATTTATATGCATACTAACAGGTGGGCAACATCACGTAGCCTCTACCAGGCTTCGGGAGGTGGCTGGAAAGAGTAGAAATCGGCCAAATAGAGAGATAACATGCCGATGGAGTTGGTCCGCTACAGAGTACTGTACCCTAGTGCGGCAAACTGTACTCTCTAGCGGACCAACTCCGCTGGCATATTATCTCTCTATTTGGCCGATTTTTACTCTACCGAAGCCTGGTAGAGCCTTAACATCACAAACTTAGTCATGGAACTGTTTCATGGCTTGTTGTTTTAGGGGGGAGGGGGGTGATCAAAGAACATTAATCGTTTTTTTTACAAGTAGATTAAAGTTCGTAAATTTAAAACCAGGCGTACAGGGCGCTGCATTTGTTTTACTTTTAAGATGAGGGGGTAAAAGTCACGACATCTTAAGTCTACGATAGAATTAATCAAAGTTGGTTCCTAGTTTCTATTATGTGCTTCCTCTGACGAAACCTTGTATCCTGAACCCAGTGTCACAGATGATAGATAGAAACATGAGAAATCTGTTTCTAGAAATAGAATAAAGTGTTACGTTTCCCTATATATAGGTCCTCCATTGAGGTCGAAGAAGCAGACAATCAACTTGGCAGTAATGTATCTACATCAGGAGGACTGACGAATTCATCAGT